AGAAAGGTAACCAGTAGCAAGACGTAAGTATTTTATTAGAGCAGTGATGGCTGCATCAGGAGATCTGAATGACCAGGGTAAGGGCAGATCATCCCAGAGATGGGCCATCTGTGCAATCACTACGATTTCACAGTGACTTAATGCATAATCAGTATTCACTTGTTAAAAGCCGGCTGGGAAATCAGTGGTCTAATTTCCTGACTTCCAATCAAGATTGCTAAGACTTCTTTTTATTTCTAGATTTCAATCAGCCATGGAAGAGAGATGTTCTCACTACCTTGAGATAGAGAGACAAAGGCAAAAAAAAAAAAAATGTTTTCAGTAAAAAGTCTATCTGGTCAGCAATTTGGCATTATTTTCTCAGTTTATTCAGTACCAGGAGTGATGTCAGCTTGTTTTTCACAATCTTCTTCACCTTCTGAAGCCACAGAAAAGGGAATTTTCTTGTTTACTACACAGGATACACAGGATAAACTGCATGGAAATACAATTTATTTTTTGTGCTAGTGATAATTATTCCATGTGTATACATTGAACTGCTAAGATCTCATCTGCTAATACGACTAATGCAGACAATTTAATAGGCAGGATTGTCTCTTTCAAAACCATCCGTAGTTTAAGGCCAGGGTATCTGCAGGAAATCCAGTAAGTAAAAGAGGCTCCTTCCATGTCTCTTTGCTCAGAAATGGCCACTAGCAGCAGCCATGGAAATGCACTTTTTAGTCCATACTGCAAAGGGGGAGTTGAGTTATCTCTTTGAATTGGTTGTAACTATAGCAGCCTATAAAACTTGTAAAATAAATATACAGCTAAACAAGCAGATGATTTCTTCATCATTTGACTAATAATTTCATATGTGTTAATATGCTTCTTTAAGAACTATAGTCCAGTTCCCTTTAGGATTTGTAAAAAAAAAAAAAAAAACAGTTCAACAATACAGAAATAAAAAAGCTGATCCAACAAAGGACAGCCATAAATTCTCTCATAAAAGTAATAACTAAAATTTGCTGTCTATGATTGGTTTGTTTTCTCAACAAAACATTACGAAATTATCTTTCTTAGAATTTTTTTTTGCTGCAATCTAAGAAAAACAGAAAAGGTTTGATTTGATTATGATGGTGCTCTGTAGATCTCTGTGAGAAATGAACAAAAATATAAAACAATTTCATATGGGCAGGCATCTCAACAGCCTGTGGACAATATTTTCTATCTGTTTAATACTGTAGTTGTACACAAACACAGACATACAGACACACATATCTCCCAGAAATGAAATTCTTTATTGTATATGTTCCTCTTCCATAAACATAACATAAAATTGGTTGAAGTACCACCTTGCTATTTCTAATAAACAAGCAAAAAGATGAGAACAAAAACCATTCCATGGGTATCTTTTATTGGTAACTATAGAGAAAAACTTTGCCTAATTGGTGCTTTTGAACCTCCTTTGAAGAAGGCATTTAAATTCATTTGCTACATTTCTGTGCCCCACAAGAGCCCTGGAGCTAAAGAACTAGAAAGAAAAAGATGCTGTAATGATCGCATTTATTTAGATAATCAATTTTCAGTGTTAATTGGTGCACAAGATGACTTCTCAAGTCCAAGACTATCCCTAAATGGAAAGTCACCAGAACTGGAAGCCATAGCAACTTGATCTTGCTAGGATTTTGCCAAGTGCGTGTACTTGTGTGTACATTGTGTATCTTTCATTTAGTGGGATGCAAGCAACAGTATGTTGGCATACGAGCTAGTCTCTTAGACTTTAGACAACTTAGCTTGCATCACATAGCATGTATGCATTTGGTGTAAAATGGCTTTGGTTACATTTTTTTTTTTAGAAAGACCAGTAGAGTGGTAGAGGTGAGTTGTTATGGACTCATCTAGTGACAACCTATGTTAGATTGTGACTTGGGATATAAGAGTAAATGCTAAAGAGCATGGAGTAATTGATTAAATGAAAGAAGCAAATATAGTATGTTACATGTCTGTGAAACTAAGGGCTTATCTTCACTGCCGAGTTGCCCTGTTACTAGGCACTTCTGTCTGCTTTGGCTGGTGTCCTTTAATACGAATCCCAGCAGCAAACTGACTACATCTTAAAGATAAGAGTGGCCCTCACAGCTGAATCAGTGATTCCAGAACAACCTTCACCAGGCATCCTACAATACCTCAATGTTTATAACACTGTTAACAAATGTAGAAGGTTGCTGGTTTTTCTTAATTACTGTTTTATTTCCCTGAGTCATTTATATTTCCCTGTGAGTTTTAAAATGTTGTAAGGCTGCAACACTTTTCATTTTTCCAGTCACTTAGGGTAGTAAGATTTAACCCTCAGGTCCAAAGGGGTGCTTTCTACTTCATGACTGCAAAAAATTATGAAACTTTTATTAAAGCATTCTTGCTAAAATTCACTCTAAAGGATGTTGGAAGGAATAGTAAGAATTTATTTTAAATCTGGTTGTTGTGTCTGTATAGGCATTTTGATGCTTTAACTTCGTATTTATCAATTCTGCCCATCTTATCTGTCTTCTATCTACCATATACAGTATGTCTACTAAGACCTACCCAGAAAAATAAATTGGAATCTACTTTCCTAGAACAGGAAAAATGGGAGATAGCACTGCAGCAAGAGAATTGCGAAGGGAAGGATGTAGTAGTTTGTTAGGACTCAATACCAGCAGATAGATAAATGTCTCATTCTGGACAGGATTTTCTTAAACCAAACAAAAATCAAGACGTGAATGAAGATAATCTAATATTCTGGAGTTGATGAATACATGCAGAGGAGATATAATGACAAATGAAAGCTAAAATCTATGTCAGAAAGGGTGAATTGCTGTAAAAAATGTTATACATACTTATGAAATTAAGATTCTATATGTTGACAATAGCTGTAGGTTACATTCTAATGAAAGATGTACATGCCAGCGATGAGCGTTAGTAAAATCATGCAATGTTCTGAATGAGAAAAAATGATTTTGTTGGGTAACATCAATGGATGGGTTTGAACAAGGTGAGAGAACACAAAAACAAATTAGCAATTCATAGACCTAAGAACAAACGAGAATGGTGACTAATGAGTGTCTGCTTAGAAAAATCTGTTTCAAATATGCAGTTTAAATATTAGTTTATTCGTTGCAAACATAGCAAAAAATGATTATGATGAAAGGTTAAGAGAATTAGTAAAGAATGCAAGGATGTAGAGACATTGTGTTTATGAAACTACCACCATTTTTGAATAGTGTGAAGAATGGATTTGAGGGAAAAAGAGAACTTAATGGGGAAAACCCTAAAACAAAATATGACTGAAACTAGAATGACCCCAGTAGGATAATAAGTCCTCCATGAAAAATATGAATGATAAGGTGAAGGTATCTAGACCAGTGGTTCTCAACCTTTTTAATGCCGCGACCCCAACCGGTCGTAAGTCAAGGACTACTCAACCGGTCGTAAGTCAAGGACTACTCAACTGATGCAGCACCGTTTGCAGAATGGGGCTTTTGGCGGGCTCAGCAGGGCAGAGACACCTAGACAATTCCTATTGGCTTCTGAAAGCCAATAGAATTAGACTCTATTCAAGAGAGTCTATTCTATTGGCTTTCAAAAGCCAATAGAATAAAAGGGAGTAGCACAGCTAAGGAAAAGGGGAAAAAAATGGCGGACTGTGTTGTTTGGCGACCCCCGTGAAATGGTCGCTCGACCCCAAATGGGGTCCCGACCCACAGGTTGAGAACCACTGATCTAGACACTGGAACAGAATGAAAACGCTAATGCTGAAGGATCAGGCTAGGGGCAGACTGTCATGGAAAAAATGTGTCTATCTGGCTGATAAAGAGTTGACACTCACTTGATGGCACATGAGTAATCAATCATTGAGTGCTGCAGAAGTATGTGATGTAATGCTAATTAGGTAGTATAAAAATATAGTTGATAGACTTCATAATGTGAAAAAAGAAATATAGTTGAAAAAATGCAGTCAGAGAGAGCAAGGAGCATTCTAGAATGAAAGAGGAGAGGGAAAGTTTTGATGGAACTAAAAAGATTACTTTAGAAGTGGGTGAAAATGGCCAAATACAGACCCTCAAATAGAATAACAAAATAACAGAGTTGGAAGGGATCTTGGAAGTCTTTTAACCCAACCCCCTGCTCAAGTAGGAAACCCTATACAATTTCAGACAAATGGTTGTCCAATCTCCTCTTAAAAACCTCCAGTGTTAGAGCACCCACAACTTCTGGAGACAAGTCATTCCACTGATTAATTGGTCTAACTGTCAGGAAATTTATCCTTAGTTCTAGGTTGCTTCTCTCTTTGATTAGTTTCCATCCATTGCTTCTTGTCCTGCCTTCAGGTGCTTTGGAGACTTAGATGGAGAAATAGAGTGAAATGATTTGAAGTGATGAAATGCTTTATCATGAAACTAAATCAGATTTAGTCACGTTTTCTAATCTTGAGGTTTTAATTTGGGAGAGCTCACTATTTCTTATTTTACACACTGCATAATGTTTCTTACGCAGGTAAAAAATGTATGATGAGTATGTATGTACATAGTACGTAATGGATGGTCAGTTTTCATCCTTCAGTGAAGGCTTAAATAGCTACCAAGATGAACTGGATGCTGCAAAATGTGTCTGTTAGGAAAAAGGATAGAATACCTGGAAAGGCATATTCAGCCAAATGCAGCTTTAATTTCAAAATACTGAAAGCTAACCCATGTGGGTGTTGCTATGTCATTCTCAGTATTTATCTTGCTTGTTTCTGCTGTTGGTGCAGAACACAGGACCTGAGCAGGTTAGAATCAAAATCTGGCCTTCATCCACAGGATTGCTATTTCTAATAACCGTGCTATGCACAGGAAGGACCAGAGAAATCCATGACAGTACTGAAACTCGAATAATTAATGCTATCTTAAATATGTCTTTTGATTTGAAAATAAAACTACAAAAAAAGCAATGTACATGTAAAATTGCTGAACTCTGAATCAATAATAAAAACACGCAAATAAAACTAAAAAATTCACGTCAATGTACTTAACATATGTATAGATAGTGGTTGACTTACAAACATTTGTTTAGTGACCAGCTGAAGTTACAAAGGCACTGAAAAAAATGAATTACAACTGGTCCTCACATTTATGACCATCGTAGAATCCCCACAGTCATGTGATTAAAATTTGGGTGCCTGGCAACTGGCACATATTTACAACAGCTATAGTGAACTGGCTCATGTGATCATCATTTACAACCTTCATAGGGGGTTCTAACAAGCAAAGTCAATGGGGGAGGCCAGATTTACTTAATGACTGTGATTCGCTTAACAATCATGACAAAAAAGGTCATAAAATGGGCATGTCTCACTTAATAACTGCCTCACTTAGCAACAAAAAGTTGCAATCCTAATTAAGGTCATAAGGTGAGGACTACCTGTAATTTTAAAATCTTATTAACAAGTAATTGCTTGAACTATAATTCCTAGGCACTAAATGACATGACATTCATGTGTTTCAACACCTACTTTCCCATATACACATGAAAAAAAATCAGCCTTTAATTGAATTACCGTAAATGCCGGCGTATAAGGCGACTTCCGCGAGCGCTGAAATCGGCGCCAAAGACGGGAGTCGTCTTATACGCCAAGTCGTCTTATACGCCGGAAATACTGGTAGTTTCCGGCGTATAAGACGACGTTCTAGGAATGCGGCCCAGCTATAAAGACGGGGGTCGTCTTATACGCCGGGTCGCCTTGTACGCCGGCATTTACGGTACTCAGTATGAGATAGCCTTAACTTTACTATAGTACTATCTATATTGAGACTTGAAGCAATACAGACTAGAACTGTTAAAAGGTTTAAGCAACAGAAAATTTACAGAAAACTAATAAGTATTACTATTGCATTATAAAATTCTGTTTTATCCTGCACATATCAATATTGTAAAAATAAATGCTCCAACTGTAGGTTATGTTAAGTATTGGTATACATTTGGATTAAGCTGGACCTCATATTCCTGTTAGAAGCAATATGCCATGGACTGAATCAAACAAGGCCAAACCTTCACCAAGAAGCAAACCACACAATGGGGCATTGTAAATTATTCAACTTGGGAGCATGCTAGAGAGCAGATGTCATTACCACCATTTTAAAAATTCTGAAATCTACCTCCCCAGAACGTTTAAAAATTAGCAGTAATAGTTTTAAAACCTTTAATCAGGGGTTCTCAACCTTGGCAACTTTAAGACTTGTGGACTTCAACTCCCAGAATTCCTCAGCCAGGAATTCTGGGAGTTGAAATCCACAAGTCTTAAAGTTGCCAAGGTTGAGAACCCCTGCTTTAGATGCTACTAAAAATCCCATCTGAATCATTCTGCTGGACAGATTACAAAAGTGAAGGGATTGGGAGGAAATCAAACTGGTAAGACAGGACAGATCTTGACTCCCAAATAGGCATTCATATGTTTCCCTACCTACACATTCACCTGCATGTATTTAGTTATAACATTGGTCATACCAAAAGTCAGAAAGTTTGTAAATGCAACCAAAAACAGCTGAAAAGATTTCTTGATATTATTTCCACACTGCTCAACCACAGCTTTGCCAAAAACGCATGATCATGGTGCACTCAGTTTATAAACAGAAAGCTACCTAATTTTATAAAAATAAATTCAATCTGGTAGAAAAAATAGGAATATTAAATAACAGATTCTGATTCTTTGCTAGGTTTCTCAAATGAGTCCGACACGGGGAGGCTTTTGATTTCCAGCATTTTTTCTGTGGTTTCTCCATTCACAGGTGTAGCTTGTTCTTTGCGTTTCCTCTTTGCATGCACCCATGGGATAGCACATAATATAGCTCCTCCAACAATAGGTGGAACTCCTGCTAGGTAGAATGCCACATCGTATGTGCCGAAATGATCCCGTAATTTTCCTGGAAAAAGAAAAAAAAATAACACTAAGATTAACACTCAAACAAGCTAGATAGCTAGATTTTTCAGCAGCTTTTTAAAATGTGTCAATACTCCTAAGTTCACTATACCTACAATAATCATCCAACCGAGGTCTTAATAAAATATCTTGTAGCTTAATAAAGCATTTCCTTTCTTCAAAAGCAGCCTCAGAAAGGGGAAAACTGCTTTTGGATCATACACAACTTGTGCTCAGGGAATTGATATTGGAAGTGATTTTCTCCAATCCCCCTTGTAATAAATATTTTTATGCCATTCCAAAAGAAAGAATAAGAATAAATAAGGAGAAATTCAGTGTTCTGATTTCTCCAGCAAGAAGCCTTTACTAAATCCTGGTTCTTCACTGATGGTGATTTTTGTCAATGCCGATGATGTTCAAGTGTTGTTCCAGATGTTTTGGAATTGCTCCCAAGACATCTGTTACTACTAGTACTACCTTCACTTTCTCATTATTATTACTATGGTTGATCTGGATTTGGCATTTTTATCAACCTATCAAATCCTTACCAAGAATTTAAGATAGGCAGATATTGGAAGGTGGTGATGATATATAAATATATTATGGCCACCTAATCTAAAGAACTCTGGGCAACTTACAATGTATTAAAATACACAGTTAAAATTAAAAACATAACAGCAGCATTATTACTTGATATGCTTTTTACATATTTCATTAAACATTTCTGCCTACCTGCAATAGGTGGGCCAACTGTCATTGGTATAGACATCAAGCCCAAAAGGAATCCAATTGCTTCAGAAACATGATGTGCACCAACTAACTCAAAAGCAATCGGTGCCATGATACTAATGAAGCATCCATCAAAAAGGCCCATGATAAGGCAGACAACAATAAGAGCTTCAAAGGAATTGCATAATGGGATCATCATAGACATCAGGCCAATTAACAAAAACGATATCACCTATACAAGAAGAAAGGAAAAACAGGGAAGGAATTCTATTATCTATCCATTACAAGTGATTTTTTTTCCATAAAAATGAATAAAGTTTTATCCATCGCTGGTAGCACTACCTAGGTCAAGCTTGGTTGTTCTTAAACAAACAAATCTAAGCAGGATCTGACATAGTTATACTTAAATTCCTTATATTCCCCAATTCAAGGACATTCCAAAGTAGTAAAGTAAACTAGGGAGTAAGAAAATTATAATTACTACTATAAAGAAAGTAATACCAATACTTTTTATTATTATCAAGAAAACCAGATTGATGTGTCTATATACTAATCAGAAGTCTATTTGACTTAGGAAAGTGTCCTTTTATTTAATTGTATCCACTTGCTGATAGTTCTTCCATCAACAGATTACGATATCTATGAACAAGGTAGATGATTTTTACATTGCTTTTTTCTCTGCAAAGCCGCCCGACAACTTTCAATGTGTTCTCCAGACATCTCAGGGCATTTTTGGAAGATTGTGTGTGCATTGCCAGAGAAAGAGAAATTAATTAGCATTTACTCTCTTTTTTTCACATGGAAGCCAGTACTGGAGCAAAGGGCCTCCTATGAATTGAGGGACATCATTAAAAACATATTTTAGTTAATTATTATTTGTAAAGTTTCCAACTTATTATTTACAACACAACTGTTACAAAGGCATGGCATAACTATGATGTTTTTGAGGTCTAGTCTCTTCTTAGGCATGAAAGCCGGCTGGGTGACTGGGCCAGTCACTCGCTCTCTCAGCCCAACTCACCTCACGGGATTGTTCTTGTGAGGAAAATAGAGGAGGAAGGAGTATGATATACTGTATATCTGCTGTCTTGAATTATTTATAAAAATAAATGTGGGATATCAGGGATCCTTGCTTAATGATCAGTTTCTTAGCAACCGTTCAAAGTTTTGACAAACCTCCCCAGAGCTACTTATGACCCAGTTCCAGAGTTCTGAAGGCCACACACACTCCATCCTGCCCCTTCAGTCAAATGACTACACTTAGGATGCTTGGCAACCAGCTCACATTTAAAGCTGTCACTGCAATATCCTGCAGTCACAATTTTTACATTTTTTGCTGGTTTCTGGTGTTTTTTTCCAGTTTCCAGCAAACAAATTAACATGGCTTCACATAATAACTGTGACATTTGCTTAATGACCACCGCAGAAAAGACTGTAAAATTGGGTGTGGGTCATGTGGTCATAAGTGAAGGGCTGTGTGTGTGTGTGTGTGTGTGTGTAAATCACATGGAATAACTGATAATTCATCCACATGTGTGGCCGGCAACATCATTCAAGTGCAGGACATCCAGCCCTTTCCTTTGTTTCCGTTGGTTCCACTGGGTGACAACTATAGAAGGTGACATTCTGCCCACTTGGAAGGTTATCAGGACAGATTGTCTTCCTCTCAACAGGGGGAACGCCAAAACATTATCTACAGGAAATTTTGTAATAGATGAGATTCAAAGTTGGAAAATCATCAATTTCAAGAAGGGTGTGCAATTTCCTTTGAATAAGTTAACATTCCCTCTAAAAAAGCAAGGAAGCAATTTGGAAATGCTCTTACGCTCCACAGTTTTACTGAAAATTGAAATGGCAATGGCCACAAGGCCAGGGACTATTTTCCCCATTCTTAGCTGCTTTGGTAACTGGATTTTCCCTAGAAAAGAACCAGGCCTTGCCTTAGTGATTTATGCTATGTTACTGGCTTATGTTCTTTTTCCTTTTAAGACTGAATGGCTGAAATATGTTCTTTGCGAGACTGCCTTAAAAGATATTTTAGAGTGTTTAGGTAGAGAATGCAGAAGGTTGCTTGTGGGGACTTGGCAAATGCAAAAGGTTACACTTAATCTGTAGAAACTGCATTAGCTGAAGGTTGTCTCCAGGCCTAATTTAAAAACCTGCTTTTAGCCTTCACAGGCCTAAATAGACAGTATGAAAATCTGCCTAATCCATTCAGGCATACTTCTCTGTGTCAGTCAAACATAGAACAGCCCATCATTAAGAGAAGTCTTCTTAAAATTTCAGACTTTCTTTTATTACAAGGTCTCAATTCTTTAAATATTTTAAGAATGTTCATTTTCTTTTGTTTAATAGTAAGATTTGATTACATTGTTTGTTCATGTATTCTATGAGAGTATTAAAATCCTGAAAAGCACCTTATTAAACTTAGACGTAATGGTTGTCATAATGATAAGGATAATTAATATAACAGTAATTTCTACTTTCCTGGGGAGTAATTATAAAAAATAATCTCTCCACTTCCCTTGAATCAGTCTCAATTCCTGTTAATTGCATGGTCACATCCAGTCATGGTTTGCTCTTACCTTATCTTGGGTTGTTTAGCACAATATCCTAATCTGGCCTAATAATTGGATATATCCTGCCAGTTTCCATTTAAGTTCTAAGCAGATGTGATTTTGTTTAGTTTTCTCAAGATTAGTTACGGTCAGCTAAAATGATGCTACCCGCTGTGACCACAGCAGCATTAAAAGAAAGAGTAATTTTCTGCTGAACTCATCCAAACTTAACATGCTGCCCAAGTGTGTGCCAGCCCAAGTCCAGTATTCTGTCCATTGTCCTATGTTGTTTCTTGTAGGTTTCATTACTTTCGGATAAAGTAAGCATGTCTAGGTTTGACTATTTTTTAAGAAAACACTTTATACATTACATATAAAATGTGTGCTGTGTGCTAATATTAAGATATTGGGTTTCAAGATTTCTGCTAGGCAAAGGGTCCGTCATTGTTGATCTAATCTTCTTTTGCTTATATCTTAACAATGAAACAAATAAAAAACTTCAAATGAAAAACAGTGAATGCCTTCTTCCTGTTAGGTGAAACTCCAGTGAACCAACCATCTGTGTCTTCTTAATCATTTAGCTGAGGAAATGTTTACTCAGCTTTGAAAAGGGGAATAAAAAGGATCAACTTAATGCCCTGTCTTACAAGTGATGTTGCTGGGGCATAAATATAAAAGTAAGTCTTTATATTTCTATTACATTTTCTATGGGAAACAGACTTCAGCAGAAACCACTGCTGCCTTTCATTGCTCTATCATATTTGTTTTGAGGTAGACCTCAACGTGACCAGAACCACAATGAATCTCACCTGACCCTGGACTGCAGAAATCCAAGCTACATGTTTGACATTTCCCCAATTCCTGTATCCACAAAGACATGAAGAGCATTCACTGATTTCTCAGTATTGTTTTAAACTAAACTAGTATTGTCTGTAAACTTAGGTAAATTGCTATAAGATAGGTATAAAGGTCTCTCTGCAGCCTGAAATCTGAGCCTTTCTCCTTTTTTAGTTCTCTTGCTCTTTCCAGAAATGGGATAGTGAAGTTATTTACATGAATTGAATGAAAGCTTAGACATTAAGACAAACATTTTCAGTTATTTTCTAGAATATGTGGGAAAGATACTTTGTTCTATGGAGCATGTATTTCTCATTGTTCTGGCAACCCTGAACAATATTTATAAATGTTGGTCATGCAAGCAATAATTGGGAGGCTTCTATCCCATTTATTTATTTCTTATCCCAGTTTGGTAAGTATGATGGTTGAGAGTGTTCTTGCCATGATGATAAATTTAGCTGGAATCATGACAGGAACAGGTCTAACACAGAATATGATAAGAAAGAAAGGACAGAAGTCTGATATCATAAATGTTCAGAGTCTGTCCTTTCCTTGAATAAAAGCTTATCATTTGCAATCCATTAACTAATCTTAAATGTCACAGTATATGTGAAACTATAGAAGACTACTGCAGCTATGAAGTACACTATATTTACTCTTTGAGCTAGGCTAGGCTATATATATATAGTTATTTCAATGTTCATTCTGAACAACTTTCTTTAAGAAGTGCTTCTTTAAGAAGTTACTTTAAAAAAATCAATACTTTGTCTCTAAAAAAGGGAATATTTGCCAAGGTTTGTATCATTTGAATTGATTAGGGCATATTGGCTGAAGTCTGCAGCATCACTGGTGCCAAATACCAAGTTTTTACCTGACATTACTATTTTATGACCTTTTAAGAAATTCCTTATATAGATGAGCAGCTATACAAAGAAACACAAATAACCCACTCAATCCTTAAAAAAAAAACTTGAATTCACACAATTAAATATTCCTATTCCAAACTTTAGGTCTCGCTCTTGCCTAAAGAAATGTAATATTGTATACATCAAAAATGATGTTCAGTTGAAAATACGTGGCATCTGACAATATCTCTGCCAATTTTCAGTATTCACTATTGCTTATCTATAGATTTAAATATTTAAAACATGCTATTCAGGTAACATGCTGTTTTCAGAAGCATTACTTTATGGATATTATTGGTGAGAACTATGCCTACACAAAACTATCTCAGATCTCCTGGACTGTTCTTGTGCCACTAAATACTTATCAGCAGTTCAGTGGTCTTTAGATGCCAGACATAACTCTGCAAAAGTTATGCACGTCTGATAACATTAAGGACAGCAAATATAGAAAGAAATCCACCAAAAGATTCATATTATTGGTCTGAAACATCTAGAAATATATTATTAATGCATTTTATATCATTTATCTAGCAGTACCTGTAGATAAACCTTTTTTGCACCTGGAATATAATCTGCAATTTTGCCAAAGATCAGTCGACCAATTCCTGAAGTAATGCCAAGACAAAGCAGAAGTGTCACATCTGGAACATGTTCACCAATACGTTCTTTCACATGTTTTAGCTATTTGGAAGGAGGAAAAACAGGATTTTAATATAACAAAAAATCTAACAATTAATATTTTAGTTTAAAATCAGCCATATTTTAAAATTTTACAGTATTACATTTATACACATTGTTTAAACAATCATATCTCAGCTTTATAAAATTGTTCGCTAATGTTCCTCTTTTATTCTATTTGTGATGTAATCAATGGAATTCAGAACCAGCTTCAGATTACAACTTAGCTTTATACTGTAGCCAGTCATAATATCCTATTCTGACTAATTAGAAATTTCTTAGTTTAATAACAGCCCATATAAATAGACAAACAAATAAACAACACTCATTGATAAAATACTTGTTTATATCTCAACTTGTTAAACCAAGATAAGGTTGAAAGGAAGTAGCTAAGCTGTTCTCATTTATAAAAATCATAGAACCAACTCACAACAGATACAATATCTGCATGTACAAATGTAACTAAGTCATATTGGATTCAGTTTCCCTATTGTAATTACAGAGTTGGTTGGTTTCAATCATATAACTACCAGACTTGGACTTGGAAAAATATAAGAACTGGAAAACCCCTGGATTTCTTAAAAGGGTTAAAAACAAGTCTTACAGTTACACTTTGTAACCTTTATAATCAAAAGCTCAAGTAATAAGAAAAGCAGCTATGAACTGCTGTCATAATTGCAGAATGTCTTCCATGAACCAACATCTAACCAATGCTAATTCTAGCAGCATCATTTGTAAGCTGGAAAAATACAAGTAAGTTAGTGAATATCCACTCTTTGTTAGTCAGCATAATTTTGGTCCTAACCAACTTTTTACTGGGCAAATGTGTGAAAGGAAAATGAATGCAGGGTTCTTTCCAGCACCTGTGTCAGAGAGAGACTGGCTGAGCCAGGGGGAGGAGTCAAGCAGGGAATTAGTCTGGAATTCTTATGTAGGCACAAAAGGGCAAGGTCTGACCCCCACACACACCTGAATTCACTGAACCTCCTTATCTAGTCTTTTCTAACTGCAGGCTGCCAATCTGGGAAAATTCCTGTGAAATAGGCATGAGCAATAAAGTAGTTAATTGAACTCTTCACATGTGGATCTCATTGTTCAAACCTGATAACCCATTAATTCATGAGAATCAAACTGTTTTTGTTCAATAAAGGCAGGAATATGTTCAGAAAAATAAACAAGGAAAAAGCTATGTGTAGTATCAACACTTTATAAAAGAAAAGTATCTAAGCATTAAACTTAGAGTATCAAAAGAGTCAAGAAGATGTGAAATTATTATTAAATATTGTATGAGTTTAAGAACTATTTAAATTTAAAGGATCAAAATTAAAAATAGGAAAGAATTATACTGCACGTATCACAAATTATTGGACACTTCAGGCAAGAAGGCCTTTAAAGCTGTATAAACAAAATAACCAGAATTCTCATTCGGCTCACAAACCCATTTAACTGAAAGGTTAAGGAGACTAATCAATAAACCCCACTGTTAAAAATTATCTTTTAAATGTTCATTTTATTCATACTGCTATTTTGATTTTTTTTAAAGAAAACTTCTGTAAAAGATCAAAGTTTTAGATCATATCAGCTTTACAAAACAGTAATATTGTTGAAAAGCAGAACTGTTAGTATGTAAACATGCAAACAACTCTTTCTATAGACAGGATTTATGCTTTTTTAAAACCATAAGAATTTCATTTAATCCCTTGCTACTCCAGGAGAAATTAAACAATATAATGTTCTTAATATTTACAGGAAGAAGTGATCTATAATACCAAAGAACAATATTTTCTTTCTTTTTTCATAAATGAACCATCTGGCGCAAGCCATAGGGTTACCTAAGATCTTTTCCACTACTTAGTTGAGAAACTCTTTACTCAACTTTAAGTCTGCAGAAAGATGAATTGGCATGAAATTGGCTACCCAGCTGCTAATACTTCTCTTGCTTCAGTTTCTTCTTTCCCAAGTCAATTGTCCGAGCTCCCTACAAAGCATGAGTGACAAAAATCTTGCTAGATTTTACCCACTTTCCACATATCATTGTGGAGTGTATCAGAATACAATACAGGAGGCACCATTACTTCATAAGCCAGGATGATTTAAGCCTATCTCAGTTATGGGCTGTGCCAGGATGAAAGCAATCTCATTAGAATGCAACAGAAAAAAAGATATTACCAAGATATGGTAAGGTGCACATGGAGAGAGAGACTCATAGTTGCAATTTAGGAACACCAATTCAATATTCTAACAAACCTGAGCAAAATCTGATAGCCATAATGCTTAAAAGCAAGGGGACTCTGACTATCTTAACATGTATTTCTGTGTTCCTTGTTCTTAGATATACTAAGAACAAACACTTGGACTTGAAAGCATATCAAATGTATTTCAGAGAATGTTTTCCAAATAAATGTACTCGGGAATACCATGTCAAAACTGAGTATTTGTGACTTCTTCTATAAACTATTCTGATGTCCTTCAGGAAGATTTTAATGATCTGGCTCTTCCAACCGAACCTGGCCCCAGATTATTTGTGAATCCTGTGGTATGCTATGGGTTCATACAATTTTGCATTCCTTCAGTTGGTTATCTATTATGTTCGTGTGTTAATGTTTCATTATGTTTCTCACTGATTATATATTCCCTGCAGAATTAGATGACAATTAAATGACCTACAAAGCCAACTAATAAATAAGTAAACCATTGTCAAAATCACTGGATTATCTTGCACCAGACAATACTCTCACATTCTAAACTATTTCATGTAACTGTTGTCAAGGTAAAATGGGATCACACCTCCCAGAATCATTTTGAGAAAATACTAACAAAATAAATTCTAAAGATCTATTTAGAACTACTTAGATTAGTTAGACTCAGTATGCTCTAAAAATGCATTTTTAAATGTCAAAGGAAAGCAACAAAAAAGACCTACACTTAGAGAAAATTCTATCTGTCTCTTTCTAGTTATCTATCTATCTAGTGTACCAAAAAGAGGCCCCATAGACAATTTATTATATAAATTATATTAAATACTCAAATATTTTCTCCTGAACATATCCTAGTCATTTGACTCAGGGCCTTTAAAAATTCCTAAGTAGAGTAGCATTTTCATTGAAAAAGATTGCTAAAACATTGATCTATGGGATCTGACTTTTGGCTATCTGCCTGTCTGTCTGTCTGTCTATCCATTCTATCTCTGTATTGTGACCCTCTGAAAACTTCATAGAAACTTAAATGGCAAGGTACAGAAAAAAAAGTTGGGCATAATGTTCTGTTAATTATCTTACCTGCCTCATATATCTATGCAGGTATATTTTTGAAATGCAGATGTTCATAATCCACAATAAATTAAAAATTGATAGACATATATTCTATACACAAATACAAATAAATATGTTTTCTTATTTATATATAAAGCAGATAAAACAAACAATCCCCCCCAAAAAAAGACTGATAAAATTTATACCATCTTACGGGACATGGCTGGTAACATGCATGAACTTCAATAAAAGGCTACCTCACAGAATGCAAACTGCCTTCTAAAGAAGTTAAAATAAGTTTTGTGAAATAAGAAAAAGAGTGCCCCATTTTTTATTTTCTCTTTATCTGACTGCTTCTACTGTATGTAACTTCTGGCATGTGTGATCTTAGCAGCAAGACCTGAATGGCCTTTTATTATCTCATTCATTCACTAGAGTTATTGGTACCCTGATGCTTGAATCAATAACATTGCACTCCTGCTCTGGAAAAAGTGTTGGAGTTGCATCCCTGCACCTTATTTTTATTTTTTTAAAAAAAGTCACACACTACCAGCAGTTTACTTTTATCAACTGCTTACCCAGCAAAAGATATTAAAGATATAATATAATTTTAATTTATCACATGAGGATTGCATTTGATATAGGAGAGAATCAAATGTTTCTCTTCCGCTGACTTGGAAGAAGGAATCTTGTTTTGTTTTCTCCTCAGAACAAAATAGTCCTATTCAAAATCAGCCAAGCTGGGTATATTTCATCTCAATAAAGCTCAAAATGTAACTATTGTTGTTGTTTCAATCCTGAAATGAAACTATCTGAACAAGCATGTTTTGTTCTGAACTTGCTTGAAAGCTGTTTCCTATGATTCAGTTCTCAAAATGTCAGTATTTGAAATGGTCAGATTTTGTTCCGAAAGAGCATGGAACTCACATGTCTCCTTTGGAACATCTTAAAGCAGTGGTGGCGAATCTATGGCACAGGTGCTAGAGATGGCACTCAGAGCCCTCTCTGTGGGCACGCACACCGTCGCCCCAGTCCTAGGCCTTCAGCTGGGTTTTATAAAACCTTTTCACTTTAGGCTCTGCCACCATGTGCAAAAAAAAAAAAGGTTCAATCAGTCAATTTCAACTTCTCATGGGAAAAAAAAGATCTTGCAAAGTTGGAATTGATTTATTGAACTTTTTAGTCCTACCCAGTCTGCCGTTACCACCGCAGCCATGCCCACCCAATGGGCCCAGCCAATGGGCCACACCCACCCGGCACTTGACGATGCATAAGTGGGTTTTGGGTTGAAATTTGGGCACTCGGTCTCTAAAAGGTTCGCCATCACTGCCTTAAAGCTTTGAGCTTAACACATTTTGCGTGACTCTACAGAAGAATAAAGGTCTCGTTATTCACAAGAGAAACAGGTTTCTACCAAAGTTTTCTCCTTCTTTTCTTTCTTTAAAAAGAATGTGTCTCTAAGTGGTTCTTCCCTTTTCTCATCTCAGATTTATATGCAGAAGCTATAAGTCTACTCACTTTTTCCTTTTTAAAGTATATGAACTGTTATATACTTTAATGCCACAATTAAAGAGGTAAAAATACTGGTACTGACAAGTGGTAAATACATGAAACAAGGGTTTTCATTTAAATGGTTCATCTTGACAGGCAAGATACTGAATAACATGATTACATAATAGATGAGGGTACAGTTTCTTCTTGGGAGAAAAAAGGAGGGATTGAATGAAATATATACATTGAAATGCATACATT